ACTGTGAAAGACAGAGAAACACCTTTGAGTACTCAAAACTACCTCTTTTGTTGTTCTTGGCATATAGCTGTCTTCAAGGCCATATTTTGCCACGGTGACACACCCACACAGACAGGGGCTGTTGTTACCTGCCAAGCCGTTACAGCTTGTAATAACCTAACCTACAAAATAACAAACCACTTGAAGAGGACTCTGACAGAGTGCTTGGAGTCAACGGACACTTACAGCCAGGTAACATTTGGCGAGAGCGACGGAACATCCTGCAGGCTGACCTCCACACACTCAACATCTGTCTGTATGCAGTCACAGCTCTCTGGAAACTCCTGCAATACTACACACAGACACACACACATTGTTTTTTATTTAGAGGCTCATTGAAAACTATTTGTCGTATGAAAACATGGCATTTGTTTTTCTCCAGAGCCCAACACAGTTCTCCCTCAGCGTCAACATAACAGTCAATTCTGTGAGTCGTGTGCTGTCATATCCAGCTGTCAGAATTTGCTAATTGCTGTCCATTAATCTTTGGTGGGGCAACTTGTTCTTTTCTAGGTCACATCATCTGTATTATTTGCTAGCTGATGTCAAAAACTGATCATATTTTCCTTCTTTGATCATTTGTATCATGTCTCTCTGTGGTCTACATGTATTAATGTATCTGTCAAGGTTCTCAGTCATCCAGGTCATTGTAGTCTAAGGAGATTGGAAAGAAAAGTGTCTGGACTTCTTTAGGTTGCTTGAAGACGTTTCACCTCTCATCCGAGAAGCTTTTTCAGTTCTAGGGTCAAATGATGGAGAGTCCCATATTTCTACCCCGTGGTGTATTAATGTGCACACACACACTTACAACACTCATTGAGGAAGTACTGGTCCACAGGGTTAGTCTTCTGTAGTGTGCGGGCAAATAAATCTGCCCATCCGATGTTGTCCCCTGCCAAAGCAAAGAACAAAGAGTTAAATTTACTTGACTTGATAGTAATGATAGTTTATCAAGGTTTTTCTGCACTGGCATCACCAGCACATGAGCATTATGGGTACTTTCAGCTGCTCCCTTCTTTTCAAACGAATCACCACAGTACATGGATCCACATGTTAGATTTGGCGCAGATTTTAATCGGATGCCATTCCCGATGCAACTCTCCCATTTTTCCTGGCTTGGGAACAGCGCTAGGAGTACATTAGCTTGTGACCGCCTGACGCTTAGTTTGTCTACTTCCAGTCCCAAATCAGGAATCTGTTGCATGTTAGGCGTATGTGTTGACCCACCTCACCATGAAGTCACCACCAGAGTATAAGCACTATACTGTGTCAAATGACCTGACAGATCCTTGGACCATTATAAGCATTTTAAACGCATCCCTGATGCTATACTGGGAGCTGTAAGTGCACACAAATCAGAAACAGCTTTGCCAAATCAGTACTGATGAGGAACAGCAATGATGGAGCAATATTTTCTATTTTATGGGACTGAGCTACTTTTTGGAACTATTTTATCCCAGTTTTTTCACAAAATGAACTCTAAAGCCTCATCTACCATAGCTACATCTTTCTAAAGCTACTAAGCTACTTGTTAAGCCACCTATAAATCATTCAATCATATAAAAAGCACCTGACTCAAGGGATGAACCACTGCTGTGTCTACAGGTAACATACAACTTAGCACAAAAAACCTGAATTAGATCTTCAGGTAATTTCTTACTAAAAGCTGGTCACAATGTGCATGAAAGTGATTTGAGCCTAGTGTAAATAATGGGGAACAAAAACACAGAAATCTTATAGGTGCAATCATTACCAGGGATTATCGCATAAAAAGGAAATGAAAAAGAGCTTCATAGTACTTTTGTCAGGGGGAAGAACGATCTGGAAGCAGAGCGAACAAAAAAAGGGATAAACGTTTTTTAACTGGCAAGTAATTTTTTAAAGTGTTCTGAAACTATCTGCAAAACAAACAGAGTGCAGGATAAACTGGTTAGATTTATGATGTCCTTCAACAAAGTACTTACTTTCCTAAAGTAAAGAAGTAAAAGCACTTCAGTTCACTTCAGTACTTTTTAACTTCTACTTAAATAAAGCATACCTATACTTTTGTGCAAATTACTCAAGAGCTGGACTGAAAATTAGTGGGAACAGGTCTTATGGAGTGATGAATATGAATTTGATATCTTTAATTGGTCTTGTGTATGGAGGAGGTCAGGAGAGAGGTACAACTCCTGTCAAAATTGATGGAATTCACGTATCATCAGTACCATCAGATTCTGATCCAGCCTGAATACCAACTGGTCTGTGTCAAGTGTCTGATTGGCAGTAGCTTCACTTTTGAGCATGACAATGGTAAAAACGCACCATGGAGCACGATTCCTGAAGAAATTACAATAGAGCTTGTCTAAGAGAGTTCAGGCTGTATTGAAGAACAAAGGTGTTCATACCAAATATTCACTTTCAAGCTTGTTAACATTGTACAGACTCCATTTTTGGCTTATATACTGTACTTTTGCTGTTCCAATTTTCCTAAGAAAATTTTTTAAAAAAAGGAAGATTGATAAAGTGCACAAAGTGAACTTTACTGCTGTGCTTGTCATCGTTATGGCAGTGTTGCATAGTGTGGAGGTGAGGCAGATGACAAGAATGGAGAAGTAATATAACACAGAGTGGATTTCTGATAACTAGCATGCCCTCGCAGACAGACTGAAACGAATTTGCGCTCCTTCATGACCTGGGTGATGAGAAAACTATGCTCTGCAGAAATGAAAACGTTTCATAAAAAGGGCTTAAATGATTAACGCTGGGCTTTAAAAAAACCCCAAATACTAACGCATGTTTACCGTGAGACTAATGCTATAACGAGCATCCTAGGGAGTGTTTACGAAATAGTTACAAACACATTGGCATTTTAATTGACAATGACTGATGAATATTTGCATGGCGTAACGAGTCTCGACTGTTAATTAAAAGAAATAGATTATTCTCGGATGTCATGGTAAAATTTATAGTATTCTTTTACACAATAGAGGTAATATCCAACAGATGATGAGCCTGGTCTTGAATGGTAATTTGAAACAGATTACTTCTCTAAAACTGGCAAAAACAGGATGTTTCTTTTGAAAAATTACGCTTGGCTCTTGTGTACTTCAGTCTTTTTCTAATGCTTTGGAGATTGTCAGGGTTACTGTCTTCGTGCCCATGCTCAGCCGGTTGATTCGCAGTTGCAGAAAGACTGTCATGAGAAGTTTGATCCAGTGGCTAATACTCCCAGGCCCAAGAGAGGTTGTAGGAAAGGCTCGATTTGGTCTGGAGTCCCACCGAAGAAAAGAAGGGTTCTTTTGTTTAAGGCGCATGTCACTCCTAATTATCGATGTATAACGAACAGAAGTTCCTTCACTGTTTATTTATGACACTCAATGGCAGGGGGTAAGTGAAGGTCTGGGGAGGTATATCTCTAGTGAATGAGAACTGAAATGCATGATGCTGAGCTGCGACAACAGGCCAGTATAAAGGAGGTCAGGACCTGTTGCCATCCTCATGGACTCTGTTTCTGACAGTTTAGTCAGAAATATGCACATGAGTATCCCATCTGAGGTCATTTTATGTGACTCTGGCATTGGTAGTCCTGGTCCTCCTCCTACAAAGGAGTACACACCAGACCTGTTGCTTGGTCGACGCCCTTCTACAGCTCTTCTTGTGTAACAGCTTTTCTCCTGTTTCAAGTAGTCTTGGTGCAAGACTACCATGCTGTCTGTACCTCAAAATTTTGAATGAAAACTAAGGTATTCAAGATCAGCTTTATTGATTGAAAACTGACCAAAAGCTTATAACCTAGAAACTACGATTCTTACAAGTGTGGTGTGAATTCTCAACAATAATATTTTATGAAGTTTTAAAATATTTCATATTTGATCACTGACTCTCCTTTTAGGGGCAATAGATTGATCTGAAGGTCAAAGTGTTAAGAAGAAGCACTACAAGAGTGCAAACCCCAACTATATAAGGGTTTGCACTCTTTTAGTGCTTCTTAACACTTTAAGAAGAAGAAGCAGTATTTACCTTAAAGGGAATCTGCCTGTTAAATATGACATCATTAGCCATTTCCAGGTCCAAAAGCCCCTTCAGTTCTCAAACAAACGCTACGGCATGACTGAGAGTTAAAAGCCGTCAAAATTCTTTCACCTTTAATAAAATTATCAGCATGTCTGCCTAACCAGGTGTAACTATCAAGTTTAACATCCAGGCATCCATGAAAAACAGGATTATGAAGTTTAACAGAGTTAGACGTTAGTGGGGAGTTAGCTTGCTAGTTTTTAATTTAAAATGATATACCATGTTCTGACTGAGAAAAATTAAAACATATAGCTCTGCTTTCACTTCGGATATAAATGAAGAAGGAAAACTAAATAGCAGTGACATTTTTAGGGTTACTGATAGAGGGCTAGCTAGCATATGGTGGTGTGCTACGTGGTCGCTAGTGTTGGGATTAAATAATTTGCAGTACCTCAATAATTCTATGCTTCTTATTAATAATAACTGTTATAAAGTTATATAGTGTAGTATTAAGTGGACACAGCCCTGAAGATTAAAGGCATGAGACCATGTGTCCTTGGGGAGTAGAAAGCTGTAGCCTCTCGCTCACGCTTCCCTGGGAAAATGTAGATAAGAGGGGACCATCTCTAGTGGAAAGTTACTGAGACACTGTTGTTTAGACTAGAATGAGAGAGCTTCTGTAATAAAACTGTTAGGGGCACACCACCATTTTGAGATCCGCGGCAGCGTGTCATGCAGGACGCATCTCCCTTCTAGAAGTAATAAAGTGTTAAACGGCCTACTGAGCAGTGTTTTGTCTTCCATTGGATGCCTCTGAAGAATCAAAAGAACTCGGTGAAGTGTTGATATTTAGAATTGGGGGCTCGTCCGGGATTTGAACCCGGGATCTCTCTACACAGCTATGGTTAGGATAATATAAAGACATTAGCACAGCGACACTGGAGTATAACTGCTAACTTTTTCCCATAGATTTTATTTCCAATAAAAGTTAACGTGAGAGTTCCCGATAGGTGGAAACAAATGCAATCGCACGTCAGGAAGAAGATGTTGAAAACAGACCAAACTTCAGTCAGGTCAACATCTGAGATACATCGACAGCACAGGGTTAGCCATTAATATACTGCTGCACGTTTTAGATTACTTGCTATGAAAAAGTCCTGATCCTCACATTCATGTACTCACTCAAATCTTTGTTAGCCTCAAAGTGATTCTTTTCTGACCCATTCAAATATTTGGTGTCAGGCAAACCGCGAGCAGCTGTAGTTACATCGTTAGGTTTTAAAAACTGAGCTTTAAAATGTGCTGCAGATGAATAGGGGTAATAAAAACCCAGAGAAGTCCATGGTGATCACTGACTATTTTTAGACAGTTGTTTATATTAAATAGAACAAGATCCAACACAATAAAACACAAAACAGAAGACAAGATCCTTAATGAATGCAGTGTAGTTTTGACCAGGAAGCAGGGATTGTACGTGATCACTAAACAACCTGCTAGTTGTTAATTCTACTATTGAATGCTGTTTATATTATTTTTTCCTTTGTTTTGAAATGTACAAAAAAAATAAGTAGGAGTAGGTAATGGACAACAGGCATTGATTTATAAATAACTAAACATGAATACCTTAAGCTTATTGTATAATATCATACTACAGGATATTTCTGACTAGGCTTGACGTTCTCTTTCTCTTGCTAAAACTTTTAGTGTCACCTTGAAAGAAAGACAGTTATGAAGTGAAATCACAGGTCAAAATGTGAATTGTCAACTCATGTAAGGTCAAATAAGGCCAAATTTTCATTTCATTAGTTCAGCGTTTCATAAAATGCGAGCTACAAACATCTAAAGTTTATTTAAAAATTCTAACTTATATTAAAAAATAAGAAAATATAATAAAGTCAATATAAACAACATACTATTCCCTTAAAAGTAAATACTGCCTTTGGTCATTTATAACCACTGTTACACTGGCTCACACTTACCACACTGTCTCTCATCAGCTCCATTGGGACAGTCTTTGTGTCCATTACACTGCAAAACTTGAGGGAGGCACTCACTCGTGTTTCCACATGGGAATTGGCCAAGAGGGCATCTAACCCCTCCTTCCACCCAGCTGGTCTCCAGAGCTGAGAAAGGGAGAGGAAAATATAAGAAGAAGGTGCAAATTTATCCAGATAAGAATTAAAATACACAACAAAAATGAAAATAATGCAAAAACATATTTAAAAGAAATGAAAATGGGCTGATAATATTACACTGATACCTGTGAGTTAGGAGAGATCAACTCGTGCAGCTCTAGGCAACAAAAACGTCAGGTGCAGACCAAATTTACTCATGAAATTCATAAAGAATTCATCAATCTGAGGGTTTTCTGTGTATTTTTAAAAACACCCCTAATGAATCCATCAAAGGTATCATTAAATCTGTGAGTAGACTGCTTTTTTTCTTTTGCATCTGTGTCCCACACATAACGACTTGTAAACCATCGTGTCTGATCAGAGAATTCATTCATTTTAAGGTCTTTCACAGTGAGTCAGACACATGACTCTTTAGTTAGCATGACATACTTTAAAACAAACCAGAAGGAAATTCCTCATATATTTTCATTTTTATTTATTTATTGCCAGTTGTACAGAAACATGAATTACTGAATGCAGACCTTTTCCTCACATAAAAACATCACAAAATGTTCCGTCTTTTACGTGTTTTTTTTCCCCTTCCAATAGTTTTACGAGTAATAAAACCTAAATATACATTGCTTTTTAGTGCTTTTTTCCATCTTCTGTCTTGAAGTATTTTTTTCAGACGGAGTTATTAGCTGCAGATTTTTGGCTGCACATTCTTGATGCTCTGTTGAGCTGAGATCTGGGGGGCTGTGGAGGTCATTTGGGTACAATGAACTCATCGCCATGTTCAAGAAACCCGTTTGAGATGATTTGACATGGTGCGTTATCCTGCTGCCATCAGCTGATACACATGAAGGGACAGCAACAACACTCAGGAGCTGTTGAGTTTAAACAACGTTCAGTTGGCACTGATGGGGCCAAAGTGTGCCAAGAAAATAACCATCAAACCATTATACCATCAGCAGCAGCCTGGAGCATGAATTCTGACCGTACATTTGAATGTTTCAGCAGAAATTGAGACCTATCAGCCAATAATAATAATATAATATATAATAATAATAATGGATTGGATTTATATAGCACTTTTCAAGGCACCCAAAGCGCTTTACAATGCCACTATTCATTCACTCTCACATTCACACACTGGTGGAGGCAAGCTACAGTTGTAGCCACAGCTGCCCTGGGGCAGACTGACAGAAGCGATCAGCCCCTCTGGCCAACACCAGTAGGCTAAAGTGTCTGGCCCAAGGACAGAATGACCAGGACAGAGAGCCCGGGGATCGAACCGGCGACCTTCCGGTTACAGATGCGCTTCCCAACCCCCTGGTCGCCCCGTGGCTCAGGGGGTTGGGATTTTTGAGTCTCGGTGAGCCTGTGCAAATTAGAGCCTAATTTTCTGTTCTTAGCTGTGTAGTCCCTTTTTTCTTTTTTCAAAAAAATCTTGGTTGTAACCACTCTGTATTACATTTGCTTTCAGCTCACAGCAGTCTAGCCATTCTCCTCTGACCTCTGACATTTACAAGACCCTAGAGCACTGCCGCTCACAGGATTTTTTTATTTCTCTTTTTTGGAACATCCTCTGTAAACCCTAAAGATGGTTGTGTGGGAAAATTCCAGCAGTTCAGCCGTTTCTGAAATTCTCCGACCAACACGAACAACTGTGCCACATTCAAAGTCCCTTAAATCACCTTTATTCCCACATTCTGCTGCTCAGTTTGAGCTTCAGCAGTTTGTATTAATTTTTTTTTTCATACCAAAGAGGTATACTGGAAACCAAGAGTGACAAACCCACAGGCTTTCTTAGGCTTTGTCTCTTCTTCTACACAAAATAGATCAAGTGTTACCTGCTTTCATTAAGAGGAACAGGGATGGGTAAAATAAAGCAAAACAGCACTGCTGGGGCTTAATTTACCATTTATCATTACTTATCATCTGTTATTACCATTATTTAATCATGGCAGCTGCTCACTAGAGCCTCATTCTGTTTGCTTGATCATGAGACTGAAGAAAAATATTTAGGTCGGAAACTCACACTGTTAAAATGCTTAACAATATTAACAGCAGGGCAGAAATGAATCAATCTGCAGAAACATGTAAAAATAGTTTTTATCTAATGAACAATGAACCTGATGTTCTGTGGGCTTGAAACAATTACTGGGATTATTCAAACAGGCCAAAGTCTCATCTTGTTCATGCTGATGATAAACAGGAATCAGAGTGCAGAGATAAACCGTTAAAGTCCCAAAACCCAGAGTGTTCTTGCCTCCTAATGTAATTTCCTAATGTAACATTATTACCTCATAAAACATGTGAAGCATTTCAAACTTAAAATACATGATTTTATTGGCTTTTATGGACGTAAAACACAGTCCTGAGAAACACATTTGGCTCCTTAAGCTGTTCAATGCTCCGGTATGTACACACGTTACACTAAAATGCTAAAGGAATATCAGTGCTAGCTGTTTAGCAGAACTCTGTGTAAAAACAGACATGTGAATATTTCAAAATACTTTTTTTGTTAATCAAAGCAGTTCTCAAAGTTTCAGCAAGAAAACAGGCACATTTGTGACCCATCTTTCTTTCCTCAGAAACTCCCTATCAATTATCTAAAAAATTTTATTGTTCTTGTCATATTCACTTCTCTACAGATGAACACAGTGGGAGTGAATAATAACCATCTACACTGTCATGGCACAGTGATCACAGATGTGAAGCGATCCGTGCCATGCATGAAAATGAACACGCTGAGTCATCGAGAGAGGGAAGCAGTGAGTTAGTCAGTCAAAGTGTTTCTGTCATCTGAAACATGAAAGGCAACCGAATAAAAGAAAACAAAAAGCAAACAACTGTATCATTTGCTGCTGTTTGAAGTGGACATGTGATTATGTTTGAGATAACTTGGTATTCGTTCTGAATACAGATCACAAACGATGGGGATCTGCACTAATCCATTTGTAATCTTACGAGCAAAGATGGGTAACGCGTTACTGTAATCCGATTACTTTTTTCAAGTAACAAGTAAAGTAAGGGATTACTATTGCAAAAAAGGTAATTAGATTACTGTTACTTTCCCGTAAGCACGCTGCGTTACTGTGTTACTAAAACTGTGAATTTTTTGCGAGAGTGTCTCATGACAAAAATGTAAGCGAGTGCGACGTTCGTGACAACAGCTGTGTGCAGATCAACAATGGATAATATATCGAGTGCGGGAGAGAGTATGAGCGTGCAGCGTTTAAAGCGTGGAAGTACTGACCTTACTTTGAGTTTGATTCCATAAAAAGTGACAAAAACATTAGTGTCTGTTGTGCGTGGGAAGAAAACTTCTTTTTACAGTGAAAAAAACCCTAAACTCCCAAGCAAGCACCGAGTGCGCTACAACATTATGGGAAATTCACAGAGAAACTCACGGATTCTTCACCTGACTGCTGCGGCACACGTGCACCAGGGCAAACCTCCGCCTGTCCCACTCCTGCTATACAGGTGAAAATCGAGCTAGACCGCTAGTCTTTGATTTTATTTATTTTCTGCTGTGTTTTACTTGCATCTATTTGAAAGATATTTTAAAAAATGTTTTATTTTATGTGCTGGAATGTGTAAAAAATAGGTTTAAATGTTAAACAAATTTCTTCCAGTCAGAGAATGTTTCATATAATTTCATTTCATTTTTGCTTGATGCATAAAGTAAAAAGATTAAAACTAATAAAACAAGTTTTAAAAAGAGACTTTTCCATTTGATTACATTTTGTATGATGGATTATGCAGAAAAAGTAGAATTGGGCTGAAAGATCTATCTCTTTATCACCTATTCAGGTTTAAATCATGTTTTTAAAAAGTAACTAAGTAATTAATTACTTTTGAAAATAAGCAATCAGTAAAGTAACGGGATTATTTTTGGGGGGAAGTAATCAGTGTTAGTTACTGATTACTTTTTTCAAGTAACTTGACCAACACTGCTTACGAGTTATGAAATTATTCTTGCAAACTGACAAGATATTTTTATTTTATTTTTTTTGCTGATCCCTTATTTCTCCAGGGGTCTCCACAGCACATGTATCTGCATGTTTGAATTGGCACTGAGTTTACACCGGATGCCCCTCCTGAAGCAACTCTCCATTTTTCTAGGCTTGAGCCCAGCACTAGGAGTTCTCCAAGTCATGACCCCTGAGGTTGGGTTTGTCTCTGCTCACAGTCTCAAACTGTGAATGTTTTGTATGTATAGTAAATCTGTTAACCAGCTACAGATTAGCACTCACAGTGTGTCATGGTTCTGGAGCCAGCGTTTATGTGTTTGGGCTCTTGATTTTGGGTTATTTAATATTCTGAGGCTTTGCTTCTTACTATAGTTGTAATTCCTCTGTTTAATATTTGTGTTCTCGGGCCTTCTTATTTGTCTTTGTGTATCCGTTATCATGCCTCCCCTGTGTTCCACGTACCATGTTTAGTCAGTGGTGAATCCATGTTTATTTTCCCTTTTGTGAAGTTTGTGTGCCTCAGTTTCAGTTTCTGTCTGTTGTCCTGTGTTCATCGTGTTCTGTTTTGTGACATTAAGTGTATTTAGTTTAGCTGTGTGCCCATGTGTCTCCTCTTCGCCTAATCACCTCTATATTTATTGTCTGAGTCTCTCTTTGTCCCTTGACAGAGCATTAGTCACCATCCCCTCCTAGTGTTTCTAGTTTTCCAGAGTTTGTTGCCTTTTATTAGAGATGGCACAATACCACTTTTTTACGTCCGATACCGATATCATAAATTTGGATATCTGCTGATACAGATATGAATCCGATATAGTGTATTTTATAATCAATACAACTGTTTTTTTTAAATATCTTGCTGCATTTTGTATACGTTCATACTCAAGTTTTGAAAAATAAAACATTAAAGCTATTCTGTTATACCTGTATGCAAAAAATACACTACACCCAAAATATTTCATAGTTCGGCAATGCTGATCAATCTAATAAACCTACTCCATCCTCCCTATTCTGGTATTTTAAAGAGTACTT